CTCCGACGCGAACGCCTCTGCTCGCAAGGCGGTGAGCGCAGATCCCACGGGGCCCTCGGTCGGGGGTCAAGGCTGCCTCCGTTTCCATCCCGGACCCGACAATGGGCCGGAAAAAGACTTGGCACGACTGCGCGGCGGAGTTCACCGACCTGGTGGTGTAGCAGCCCCTGACTGAGCACAGTGACTCTGGGGACACGTCTGTGGTGGAGACCCTTTCCTGCACGGTCTGCGAGCTGCCTATGCGCGTGCCCAGGGACCGCATCCCGGAGCACCTGTCCTCGGGCAGGCACTACAGGAACCGCAGACTCATCCGCAGCACGGCCTGCGGACGCCCATTCTCGTGTAAGTGTCAGTGCCAACGCTAGTATTTCAGGAGACATCCCAGCGGGCTGCCGGCTATTTTAGGATTCTCTGCCCTGCAAAAGTTTCCGAAGTATGTGGACAGGCCGCCTGATGACACTACGTTTACGGATCTGCTAGTGGCTTGCCCACTTGGGGAGTAACCCTGTGAAGTCTTGCAGTTTGATTAAAGTGTGCGTGGCCACCCGAATGCTGCCTTATCACAAGCCAGATACATACTGGTCTGCAGGGTGACTCCCCACTTTTGATCCTCTGAGATGATTGTGGACTGGGTGCTGTGAGTCCTACCACTTTGTTTAAATGAATGTGTCTTTTGTCCAGCTCGGCCGCCTCGGCTCTCACTGCCACCGGCCTTCACGCACACCCTCGCCACCAGCCTTTGCCCCGTCAGCCTCAGCCCCAGCTCATTCTCTCAGGCAGTCCCAGCATTGGCATGGTACCTCCTCCCGCCGTGGGCCGCACGTCTCTGCTCCCTGTCAACCCTACTGCCATCAGCATCACCACAAGCGACTTGCCTGCCCAGGAGGATGCAACACCATCTCCCTTCACCGGCCACCTTTCAGTGTTTTCTGCTTTCCAAGTAAAGACACCAGCAGTGCCCTCAGAGCGGACCAGCCAGAGATTTTCCGAAGCCTCCCATAGGCTGCTCCGTGGAGGAGGCCTGAGATGCTGTCATGACTTTGGAGCCAGGGTGGCCGACCACCTTGGCCTGGCCATCTTTGGGGTTTGGGAGCCCAGCACTGCTGCCGAGTGTGGTGGATGAGAACGGCTGCTGCTTGCTGTACGTGGTGGAGGACCAGCTGTGTGGCGTGGAGCGAGCCTTCAGAGCTGAGCATTTGGCCAACACCAGAGTGGTTCGGGAACAGGATGCGGACATTGTCCTCAACGACCAGCGGTGCGGTTTCAGTTGTCAGCAGAGGTTCACTGAACACCTGCTGTGTGCCGGGCACCGTCCTGGGGGCTGGAGAAATGGCTCTGAATGCTGCAAAGCCCCCATCCTTGTGCTGCTGAATTGGGTGCAGAGGCAGCTGAGTAGATCTCAATACATCAGTAGCAATAAACTCTGTGGAGAGAACTCACGCCGTCGGGAGAGGGAGGCTGGTGGGAGCGCTGTTTTAGGTGAGATGGCTGGGGAAGACTCTGAGGAGGGGGCATTGGAGCAGGGACCTAGGTGGGTCAGTGAGATGGCCATGGGGGTATCTGGGGATGGGCACACTCTACAAAGAGGACACTGAGTCTTCTCCAGGCCTTGATGTAGCCGAGTGGCCGTACCGGCAGGAATGGAGTGAACTCAGGGTGAGGGCTGGGCAACAAGGTCGGAGGCTCAAGGAGCCTGGGGGCGACCCAGAGGCTTTGAAAGCCACCAGGGGTTGGTTTGGTTTGAGCTCACACTCAGGGGGCGGAGGAGAAGGACTCAGGGACACCAGTGAGGGGTATTGTGGGGCCAATGAGGCATGCTGGGCTTGGACCAGGGCAGCAGTGTGGCTGGATTTGGGATATTTTGAATGTACAACCTTTGCGATGGGGTCCTGGCTTCCTCCCTTCACTCGAGCAGCTGGGTGTGACGTGTCCACCCTGTTCAGGAGCAGTGTCTCCAGCAGCTGGAGCAACATCTGTACTTGCTGCCCACAGGGTGTAGACGGGCTCCAGGGCAGCCACCCAGCCCTGGGGTCAGGTGCAGCCCTTGTGTTCAGGCCTGGGCTGGGCACTGCCTGGTGTTTCGCAGAGCTGGCCAGTGCTGCTCACAGGACAGGCCTGGCTCACCTTTGGCATGTCCAGGTTTGGACATGCTCTTAATAGCGTAGTAAGGGGAGAGTTTGACCCCAGCTTGTTAATGTACGTGGAGGGCTCTGAACGTATCAGCTGGGCAGTGTTGTATCTCAGCAAAGCCCATTGTCACTGCAGAAGAATGTTCGTGAATGTTATCGCTTT